CATATATTGCAGGTGCAAATTGTATTTAGCTCTAAAATTAATATTTCATGCAAAATGGAACAAACAAAATACTATATCTACATATTTATTGCACGTAAATTCACACATGACAAGTTAGAGAATTAAATTTCTAAATAGGCAAACGTAAAAAAACTACAATTTCCCAACTTCGTCAACACCCATTACACATTAAGAAACTCAACCAAAATCAACCCCACAGCTTCAAAATTCGTCTGCTTGAATTTCTCTCCACATCACCAAAAACGACCACCCTCCCAATTTGAAGACCAGCAAAACTCTCCGTTTATTAGAGATATTAATATTAAATGATACATTTCACTAAGAGCTTAAACTTTTGGTTGAGATGGTCATTGAACATGGTATCAGAGTCAAGCCAAATGAAAGGTCTCGAGTTTGAATCCCACCGCCATACATGTCAAATATTTCAAGTGCAAGGCTTCAAATGTAATTCTCCTGCACTTGAGGGGGCGTATTAAATGATACATTTCACTAACATCTTAAGCTTTTGGTTGAGATGGTCATTCAACATTTAAATGATACATTTCACTAACATCATGTTAAGCTTTTGGTTGAGATGTATCATTTAATATTAATTCCAGTACCGTCGTGTATTAAATGATACATTTCATAAGCTTTTGGTTGAGATGGTCATTCAACATTTAAATGATACATTTCACTAACATATTAAGCTTTTTATTGAGATGTACCATTTAATATTAATATCTCCAATACCGTTTTCCGCTCATCATCTTACTCATGTATGAAATCAATCCCCCCCTCCCCCCAAAAAAAAAAGTAATTTTAGGTGTGTTGAGGGGTATTTTCGTCATTTGGACTCTGGTAAGTGGTAAAACAAAACCACCTCGTGTCAAGGAAACTTGCACAAAATGTACATCACTGTATTATTTTTATTGCGTAAAAATCCATGTGTGTTTCGTTTTTGTTTCATGAAATCTCATTTTCCGTTAATAGTTTACACCGTTAATTGTATATGGGGGGGGGGATTGTGTTTGTATGCAATTTTTGGTAACAAAGAGGGATTTGATGCATGTTATCTCCAACACAAATTTAGGGATGGCAACGGGTCGGTTCTGGGCCGGGTTCGTTTAAACCCAAGACCTGACCCACGAAAAATATATAAACCCAAGACCCGCCCCAACCCGCTTTAGCTTAGACCCAGACCCGCCCCAACCCAGACCCTAACTAAACGGTTCTGACCCGCCAGGCCCGCTAGACTCATTAACATACAAAAAATTTAATATTTTTTTAACTTTCATAACATTTTGCTTGTATATTTTTACGATATAATCTCAATACTAAAATACATTATTTTAAAAAATCTCTACAAGTGACATAACATGAACAATAAAATTACAATTAATTATATTTAACTTCGATAATAAGTAAAATTCAAAATGCAAGATAATTAGCGGTGGTCGACAAGTGATAAATATTACTCACGAGAAATGAGATTCGAAAAATAAAACAGTGAAAATAGGTAAATGAGAATAGACAAGATGGAAATTGATAGTTTGATAGATGAAATCCGAAATTATATATATATATATATATATATATATATATATATATATATATATATATATATATATATATATATATACAGATCTATATCATATAAAACCCGATAACCCGACCCAAAACCTTTTAGGTTACCCACACCCGCCCCAAACGGGTCGGTTCCGGGTCCAAAACCCGCCAAACCCGTACCCATTGCCATCCCTAAACACAATAGAGTTATACAAATTTAATTTATCGTTAAACACTCAAATTATTCTCCTTAAATAAGTCACATTATTCATTTATAATATATTAAAAAATATAAAATTATAGTTGGGGCGATTTTTTTTTTTTTTTTGTAAAATTCCAATTATTTTTATGTGATTTAATATATTTATTAGTTTTTTTTTTATAATATACACTTATAATATTAAAATTATTATATCTTAGCATTAATTATATGTATAAAGAATATAAATAATCTGAAAATTCTTTCCGACTTCCATCTCTGCTATTATTCTTTTATTGGGAAGAAACACTTTTTGTTGATTAAGTTGATCTCTATTGTACATTTTGGTCCTCCTTGTTTTCGAAAAAGAAAAAAGAAAAACGAAAAAAGAAAAAAACAAACAAACAGATGTAGTTTTCTGTCATTTTTTTAATTTGTATCTAGCGCAATCAAGTATATGTGCTCATCATTGTTTAAGTTGACGGGACCTAAGGTAAATAAACAGAAAATATCAAAAGTGTTACATTATTGAAAAATATGAGAAACTAAATCTATTTTCTATTAACAAAGGGAACTAAATGTTAACAATTGTGGTAAACTTGAGAGACGAAAATTGTATTTATCCCCTTTTCTTATTGTAAATTAATAAATTTATTCGACTTAATTTAAATAAATAATTTTAAATAGGGGAAAGTTCAGTTTGCACCCCTGAATTATAGGTTGTGTATCAAACACATCCCTGAATTACAAAACACACCAAAATGACCTCTCTGTTTCTAATCCACTTGTGATGTGCTGATGTGGCAAGTTGACTTTCTTCAATTAATGTTTTTTTTAATAAAGTTAACCCTCAATTCGCTATATCCATGTGTACGAGGATATAGACCGTTTATATGTATATATAAAGATAACTAAATAATACCCACAATATTTTTTATTTATTTTTTAAATCTATTTATATAGTAAAATATTTAATTTATATTTTCATGTAATTAATAAAATAGGTATCACGTCACTCATCATCATCTCTTTTTCTTTCTTCTTTTTTTAGAGGATTATTTTGCATCAAGAATCAATTTAGTGCCGCAAATTAAAATGCACTCGATTCTCGTTTCTTTTCACAGTGGAGGAGTTGATTTTGGAGAAATATATATATATATATATATATATATATATATATATATATATATATATATATATATATATATATATATATGCTGTCATTTTTTTAGAGATTTTCTTTTGTTGGTGAGTCGGTATTGTAATGGTATATATGATATCCAGTAGAAAATCGAAACTAGTTATCTGATATGCGAATTGAAGAAGACGATGAGTTGGGGGCAGGTGCAAAGATATGATTTTAAAAAATATAAGAAGGAAAAGATAAATAAATAACACTAATATCTCTTAAACTCACAAGGGTACAAATGTAATTGCACCTTCAAACTAATGGAATTAAAATTTTGATGGTTGACCAAAAAAGATAGGGGAGTATTTGACACGTTTTGTAATTCAGGGGTATTTGATACCCACCCCATAATTCAAGGGTGCAAAATAAACTTTCCCCATTTAAATAATAAATGAATAAATTAATTTTGCATAAATTGCCCTTGTGTCACAAAAAATATGCACCAAATAATTCTACTATGTTACAAAAAAATTGTATAAAATCTCCTACTATAGTTACAGTGCTAGCTACTAAATAAAATGAGGATTTCATGTAATGAGAAATAAAATAAATGAGGTTTTTAGGCAATTAAAAGAAGATATGAGAGGTTTGTTGCAGGTTGTACTTAATGGGCAGCAAGGTTGTAAAAAGCGGTAATCGGGTCCGAGTCGGTTAGGGACCGACTCACGATTAATCGGTGCGGCGGTGATTAATCGGTGATAAATCGGAAATAAATCGGTTTTTAAAATTTAATATAATATATTTGTAGATATTATTTATAAATACTCAAAACATAGATAAAAAATATTTAAACATAGTTATATCTCAATCATGTATATATTCTAATAACATAATAAAAGTTTAATAATAATAAGATCATAATACATAAATATCCTTATAAAATATAAATAAAAAGACAATTTTTTTTGAATTTACATACATTCTTGGCATACATCATTAGTTCTTTAACAATAATAATTAACATAAACAAAATAAAGCATAAACTCCTTTTTTTTTTATTAAAATCCCAACTTTTATTTTGATTTATAAAAAAAAAAAAAAAACTAAAAACCGATTTTTGACCGATTTTTGCCACCGAAGTTTGACCCGCCTTAAAGGTTTGACCGCCTCGGACCGCCTCAGACCGCCTCAGACCGCCTCGGACCGCCTCAAACCGCCTCACAGGCAAAAAACCGATTTTTCAAACCTTTACACTAAAATCGTAAAGGTTTTGGACCGACTCGGCCGAGGCG